CAGAAAAGATATGATTTTAATCTTTTTCAATTTATTGTGGCTTATTTTATGGCCTAATATGTGATCTATTCTGGAGAATGCTCCACGTGCACTTGAAAAGAATTTGTATTCTGCCGTTTTAGGATGGAATGTTCTGAATATATCTGTTAAACCCATCTGGCCCAGTATGTCATTCAAAGGCACTGTTTCAATTGATTTTCAACTTAGATGACCTATTGATGTAAGTGGGGTATTAAAGTCCCCTACTATAATTATATTTTTATCAACTAGTTCCTTTATTAACTGTTTTATGCATTTGGGAGCTCCCATGTTGGGTGCATAAGTATTTACAATTGTTATATCTTGTTGGATTGTCCCCTTTTTTTATTATTCAGGGCCCTTCTTTGTCTCTTGTTAAAGTCTTGATTTAAAGTCTATTTTCTCTGATGTAAGTATTGCTACTCAGGCTTTCCTTTGACAACTTTTTGCATGATAAATGTGTCTCCATTTCCTCACTTCAATCTGCAGGTGTTTTTAGGTCTGAAATGAATCTCTTCTAAACAGCATATAGATCAGTCTCTTTTTAAAAAATCTATTTTGTCACTCTATGTCTTTTGATTGGAGTGTTTAGTCCATTTACATTTAAGTAATTACTGATAGATACATATTTATTGCCATTTTATTACCTGTTTTGTGGTTATTTCTGAAGATTTTCTCTGATCCTTTCTTGTCTTATCTGTTTAATGGTTTGCCAGTTTTCTTTAGTAATATATTTGGATTTCTTTTTATTCTTTGCATATTTATTAGTGATTTTTGATTTGTGGTTACCATTTGGTTTGTATATAATATCTTTTGCATATAGCAATCTGTATTAAGTTGATGGTCATTTTACTTTGAACCCATTCTTTCTTTACTCCTCTCCTTCCCATGTTTTAAGTATTTGGTGTCATAGTGTACATGCTTTTTTTTTTTTTTTTTGTGAGGTCCTTGACTGATATTTTACAAAAATATTCATTTTTAACACTTTTGTGTTTCCTACCTTAGTACTGTCACTGTTGGTCTTTCCTTTTCACTCAAAGAGTCCCCTTTAATATTTCTTTCAGGGTTGGTTTAGTGGTCATGAACTCCTTTAGTTTTTGTTTGTCTGGGGAACCCTTCATTTCTCCTTTTATTCTGAATGATAACCTTTCTGGATAGATTCTTCTCAGCTGCAGATTTTTCCCATTCAGCACTTTGAATATATCATGCCATTCTCTTCTGGCTTAGAAAGTTTCTGCTGAAAAATCCACTGATAGCCTTATGGGTTTGTATGTAACTATCTTTTTTCTTGTTGCTTTTAAATTTTTTTCCTTATCACTATATTTTGCCATTTTCATTATATTTCTTGGTGTGGATCTGCTTTTGTTGATATTTTTGGGGAGTTCTCCGTGCCTCTTGGATCTGGATATCTGTTTCCTTTCCCAGATTAGGGAAGTTTTCAGATATTTTCTCTTCAAATACATTTTCTGTCTCTTTTTCTTTCTCTTCTGGGACTCCTATAATGCTAATGTTATTGGATTTGATGGAGTCACTGAGTTCCCTAAGTCTAATCTCCTTTTGCACAATTCTTTTTTCTGTCTTTTGTTTAGCTTGATTACTTCCTATTACTCTGTCTTTTAGGTCGTTTTCCGCTGCTTCTTCCAGCCTGCTGTTCATTGCGTCAGGCTTTTTCCTGATCTCATTTATTGCACTCTTCATCTCTGATTGGTTCTTTTTTTATCTCTGTCTCACTGGTGTCTTCCACTCTTTTCTCAGGTTCAGCGAATATCCTTATGATCATTGTTTTAAATACCCCATCAGGCATGTTATTTGCCTGTTTCACTTGGATCTCTGGCCGTGGCCTTGTCCTTTTGTTCATTTGGGACAAATTTTTCTGTCTTCCTATTTTGTCTAAGTCTCTGTGCCTGTTTCTTTGTGTTAAGAAAGTTAGCTACGTCTCCTGTTCTTCAGGGTAATGGCCTTACAAAGGGGAGGTTCTGTAGTGCCCTGCCATGGAGGGTCCCTTGTTCCCCAGGGCCTGGCACTTCCAGAAGTGTCTACAATGTGTGCTGCGTGTGCTCTGCTGTTTCGTCCTAACTGCTTTATCCTTCAGGCCAGTCATCTACAGAGGCTTTCTTTGCCTGTCATAGGCAGCGTATGGTCCCTGGCCTGAATGTGGTGCGTTTTAACTAGGTGTGCTCTAGTGTGCTTGGGAGATGAGACCTGTCATCACTCACCAGAACTGAGACTTCACAAAACTCTCGGGTTGGGAGATGCAGTATGAGTAGGGGTTTTGGCGGGGCTTCTGTGCAGAGGGCCCACAGCACTGGGACTGAGGCAACCCAGACTGGGAAGAGGGGTTCACTAGAGCATGGTGGGGGGCGGGGGTCTCTCCGTGGATGCTGCCTCTCTGGGACTTGCTCTGAGATGAGCAAATAACCTCTCCACTGTGTGCCCCAGACAGTTTTCAGATTGCTATTTCCAGTCTGTATGTCTGCAGGCTATTTACCCTGCCTTCTTTCCAAAGAGCAGCCCCAATGCCCCAGGGCTCTCATTGAACCAAGCTTGCTGATCTTTAGAAGTCTAGGCTTTAGGCCCCTTTCCTTGAAAAAACACAAAATTTGGCCCCTCTCATTTCCAAGCCAATTGCTATGGGATTTATTTTCCCCATGCACTCCCCTGTGTGCTAGTCTGTCTCTCGCCCTTCTCTGCCACCACATTTCCCTCCCCACTACAGAGGTCAGCATCCATTTTTCTTCCAAACTGCGTCTTTGCATTTCCTACTTTCTTCGATGAGGCCTCTTCTCTACCTTTATTTGTGGAGTTTGTTCTGCCAGTCATCAGGTTGATTTCTAGGGTATTTAGGATGATTTGATAGTTACCTTGTTGTATTTCTGGGACAAGGTGAGCCTAGGGTCCTCTTAATTTGCTGCCGCATTCCCACAGCCTACTCATTTTTAGGATTGCTTTTCCTTAGTATTTAATGTATTTCATGCAGTTGCATAGAGTTTTTTATTTGCTAGTGCATAAAAATGCAGTTGATGGCCATTTCTCTAAAATTTTTCCTAAATTCATCTATTAATTTGAATAATTTTCCAATAGATCCTTTGGATTTTTTCATTAATTCATTAGTTATATTTATTAGATTAATTAATATAAACTAATTTTATAATTGATCTATTAATTTCTTTCAAATCCTTATGCCTTTTATTTCTTTTTCTTTCCTTCCTCCATTGATTATTTGTGGCAGAATGTTAAATAATAAGCATATCCAACTCGTTTTCAACTTCAAAAAGGAAATTTTCAACATTTCACTATCAAATGTGAAGTTTGCTGTAGAAGTCTGTATAAATAACTTTTGCTTCACCTTTATTTTTGCTGTATTATATTATAGGTTGGTTGTAATTTTCTTTCAGCACTTTAAAAACATCATTCCATTCTCTTTTGGCTTCTACTGCACTGGATTGAAATGACTTATCTATATCTTAGTATGTGTTTCCGAATAAGGCCAGAGGCAGTTTTGATTTTAAACTAATTATATACAATAAGATTGATTTAATATACCATAAGATATATTATGACAAAATTGATAGCCTGCTTTTTGGCCTGTTTATCTGTATGCATGGAGACAAAATAAAATCTTCATTAAAAAAATGAAACTGTACTATTGCTATTAGCTTATTGCTACTTCTTGTAAGTGTATGCAACCAGTAGAATTGTGATCTTTAAAATGTGGGATCCTGATTCTCTGGATCTGGGTAATTATTTCATTGGGACCTGTGACTCGTTTTTCCATTTTCTCTTTTTATGGCTCAGTATATACTTTATTTCTAGTCTAGAAAAGCAGGGATAGAGAGCCAAATAAAATAAATAAGAAACACAACTTTTAAAGTACTGAAGGAAGTAAGTTTAAATTTCTACACACTGTTTACATATGATTATGTGAAATGCATCAGATGCATCATTCTTTACCAAGTGTTTATAGTGAGTGCATAGTCTAAAGAGTTCATTAACTAGTATGTTCATTTCTAACTTGATGATTTGGATCGTGATAAAACTCCAGAATTTGCCGCTATTCCAGAACATCCATTAAACTTTCTTTGGGAAAGTGACATACCATCGATAAAACTAAGTGTATGTTTTCTGTACTTTTATATGTACAATTTCCTGAAAGGAATGCTATTGATTACCCACTTGATAAACAATTATACTACAACAAAGATAAAAATCTTAAGAATGACTTATTTTTTTGCAGTTTTTCATGAAGTTACAATATAAATTCTACAATATGTGAATTCAGGAGTCACATTGCTTGGGTTTGTGTTGTGTTCTATCTCTTACTATCTGTCTGTCTGACTTTCTTCATCTGCAAAATGGGCTTTATAGTAATTCTTATCTCAGAGCATTGTTGTAAGAATTAACATATTCTATGGCACACATTAAGTGCATAAATATTGGTATTGGTATTAATATTAATGATTGATAAATACTAAGCAATAGTGATTAAGTATTTTTCTATATACTTCCTGCCATAAAAGCATTTTAAAATTGTGCAGGTGAATATATTTTCTGGCCAGGGTAGTATTTAATACAAGTTTCTTTAAATATGCTCTGTGAGGAAAAGGACATAAATTTTAAGTACACAGTACGTACAATCTGGCATATATTGTGAAGTGTTCAATGGCAAAGGAAAAGTACTCAAGTATGTTTCACATATTATTAAGTACTCAGAGTTATGGTCTATGTTTTGCCAAATTACTCATTACATTTATAGGTTTTCTTTAATAACCTTAAAAACCTAAATTGCATTTAAAAGGCTTAGATTTAAAATGCATGTTTGATTTTAAAAATGAGAGAAACCGCCGCTCTGTTTAATTTAAAATATTGTGAAATTATAGTTTCAACTTTATTTTTAATAAGAAATATTTGATAAATATCTAAGTTTCACATATATTTTTAAAACATTATAAAATGACATAAAATGAAAGAATTTCACTTCTTGCCTTTGATCCAGAAGAAATCCAATGGAGGTCAACGTCAGGATAATGAAGGCAACCCTCAGAAGGAGTGTGACCTGTGATAGCACCTGTTGAGGAAATACAGACACCAACAAATTCTTTAGGAGAGTTCCTAAAAGGAGTATCAGAATTTAAAGCTGTCAAGAAAACCAGCCTCAAATTTTATTTTATATTACACCATTTGTCACTGACATTTTTCAAGAAGGTTAAATAAAAACACAGAGGTTATTTTGGTTTTCCTAATGTCATTTAATTATCTTGCTAGACACTTGGAGAATGAATTAGACACTTTCACAGAGATATTTTGCTTAAAGTGTTCTTTCTAAAAATTCTCCTTTATAGTTTTGACTTTCATAATTCTTTGAAACACCTATGTCCCCACATATGGAGAAATCACTTAAATTTTTATGAATAAATAGCACATTCCAATAGCTATTTTTAATATCACTAATTCTTTGTGTTTCAAATCCAAAACTGTTTTTAATATGGAAAGTATTTAAAGGAGAATGTGTTTACGAGTGCAAACACATAAATGGAACATACTGTACAAATACATACTCATATTTGGTGAAATCTATAGGTTCATATGTACATGTCAAAAGTTATGTTTTAAATTATTGTAACAGAACAACATATTTTCAACATAATTATAAATTATACATTTTGTTTACATGTCAAAATTTAATAATAATGTTTACTGAGCATCTACTATTTCATAGCTTTCATGTTATATGTTTCATATACTTCAATTCTTTTTATAGTCCCTACAACCTTACAGATAAGGTATCATTATATCTGCTTCATATATGGAAAAACAAACCAGGAACGAAAGGATTAAGTAATTTTTCCATCACCACACAGAAATAAATGATGCCTCTCAAATTCAAAATACACCTTCCTGACCTCAAAGTGTGACAATGGTGGATAAATCTGAGCAACAAACTTAAAGGGGACAGGGGCAGAGATCTAAGCTGAGGTTACATAGCTACCCTTTAGGGTCAGATGAATACTGCTTTAGTTTAAAAGTGAATCAGTAAAAGCAAGAAGTTGGATACACATCCCCTGAATGATTCCCCTACAGAAAGAGTGTTCTCATTAAGTGTGATACAACAAAGTGGCTAAAATAGTGATCAAAACCTTATGCAAACACTCTTTTTCTTTGCTTTTAATGAAATAACAAGAGGTAATTTCAACTCACTATTAACTAATATATACACCTAGAAAAATTGCATCTGTCCAAAGTTATAAACAATAAGCAAAAGCCACCAATTGCAACTGCTGTTCACATCCAATACCCCAGCTCCATGCCTCCTTATAAATCAACCCTGACCTCATGGCCAACTTATAACACCTCCCTATTCACCATCATATGCCTGGATGGCACCCAGAATTGACAGGGATTTAAAATAAAGCAATTGTGTAGTAGATGAGTATTGATGAGTAATCAAAAATATGAATAAAAAGTATCAGAATGTTAGGAATATGGGGACAGAGCTAGGTATCAGATATGAGGGAAAGCTCAGTGGACACCAGAATGCTTTAGTGGAACGTTATTTGGGTATATGGAATTCAGCAGTGGCTGCTTTGGGACAGTGAGGCAAAAGTATCAGAAAAATATTTCTTGGTGGTGAAGTAACTAGGTGTGCTTGAGCAGATTAATGGTTGCTTAAGGGAAACATTTTGTCTGTAAAGAAAAATGTTGCTTTCGGGGCGCCTGGGTAGTTCGGTCGTTGGGCGTCTGCCTTCGGCTTGGGTCATGGTCCCGGAGTCCTGGGGTCAAGCCCCGCATTGGGCTCCCTTCTCCACGGGAGGCCTGCTTCTCCCTCTCACACACCCCCTGCTTGTGTTCCCTCTCTTGCTGTGTCACTCTCTGTCAAATAAGTAAATAACATATTAGAAAAAAAAATTAAAAAAGAAAAAGAAAAATGCTGCTTTCACTACCACTGCTTCATTTTGATTCCTTAGGAGAAAATTCATATGAGAGAAAGAAATGGTGTGTGCCCAAAAACTACAGCATGATTTTAAATGCTCTGTAAGAATATAGGACTTGGAATTATGCATTGACTCTATGAACCATGTAACCATAGGCAAATTATTTGGCTAGTTTCTAAGGCTCTTTTATGTGTGTAGTACATTTGACATAAGATGAGTTTGGCAGCAACTATAATAAGGTACTGAGAAGAGTGCTTGGCACAAAGCCAACTAATGGTTATGCTAGGAATATCATTGTTACTATTTTTAGGCTATACTGATTTTTCAAATGGTACTTAGGTTAACTTTAATGAATTACAATAAAATAAAGAAGCACAAATAAAAGGTCCATTAACTCTTTCCAGTATCATTGGAAAATCATATATAGGATAAAATATATTTTTGAATTTTGGTTAGGGAATTTATGATCCCTTAACCAGAAAAAAAAAAAAGAAAAGAAAAAAAGAAAAGGGAAATCCTCTTTGTGCAAATTGCTTCCTGGTTCCTGGAGTCAGAGTGAAAACCAACCTAATACGTCTATCTAGCTACCTACTCAATGCCTCTACCTAGCTAAAAGGCCCCTGAAACTTACCATGTCTAAAACTCTTGTTTGTTTCCTTCCTCCACACTACACATCTCCAGGTTTCTTCTTCTTAGAATGGCACAAACAGTTTTTTAGTTGTTCAAGCAAAAAAAACCCGAAAAACCAAAAAAAGCAAAACAATAAAAACTGTGACTCATCCTTGACCCTTCCTCTCACTGTCCACTTCTAATACATTAGAAATAAAATGTTGGCATTATATTTGATACATCCAGGATAAAGGTATTTGTTACAAGCAGCTGTTTTGTGAACAAAAACTTATTCCAACCCAACATGATCTCCACCGCAACTGAAATACTCTCTTAGCTGGTCTCCACTCTAAAATTGCATGTCTACCTATCATGGCCTTCTACCCACAGTTTTACAACCAGAACGCTGACTCTTTTTAAAGACATACATCATATCACATCATTATTATGTTCTAAAGCCTCCAGGACCTTCAAATTCTACTTAGAGTAAAACTCCAAGTCCCTACTCTGGCCCATACATAACCTACCCCATTATCATATTGTCCACTAGTAATCTCTCTTGTCTTTCATATTACAAATTTTGTTCTTCCTTGAACATGACAAGCATCCTTCCCCTTCAAGTCTGTTTTACTTACTGTTCCTTCTATTGGGGCAACTTCCCCCAGGGATCTTTATGGTTCATTCCTTCATTTCATTCTGGTTGGTACTATTCAAATGCACATACTTGTCTGTCATATGTAAAACAGTACTTTTCCATATCTATAACCTTTTTCTGTTATATTGTTCTCCATGCAACACTTCTATACAATTATGCACTTACCCACTTATCACTTCTATACAATTATACATTTGTTTGAGCATTCTCTTGCTTTTTATTTTCTGTCCCACTAGATCCCCCACTAGGATGTAAGCCCCAATAGAGGTTATATTTTGTTATTTACTGTTACATCTCAAACATCTAGAACATTGCCTGGTGCATAGTTAGTACTCAATATGTTTTTGTTGAAAGATTGTTCAAGTGAATGAATATTTTATATCTGTATTTTAATATCCATGCCCTTAATATTAATAATTTATATTAACTGGTTTAATCAATAATTGAATATTATGGCATTAAATATTTAATTTATATTAATATTTTAGTTCTTTAAAATTAAAAATAAATTCTATTAAACAAGTTAATGATTTACTATTTCATAATTTGATATTTATAATTTAATATTCATATACAAAATATTTCAAAACGTTAAATTAATCCAAGAGGCAGCAACCTCAGAACTCAAGGTCCTACAGCAGTTGCTGGAAGATATCCATTTTTGACACAGTTTCTTTCTTGGATGTTCAGTAAAACTATTTTGGGGCTCAATGAAGCCACTCTAAATTATCAGTATTCACTTCAAGATCTCACTGAAATCTGGACACAAACTTTTGCTACACTTGTGATAGAAAACTCTTTTTTTTTTTTCCACTAAGAAGCAAGTGAAAATATAAGCTCTATATCTTTCAGTTGTTTCTCAAAATACAAAAGAAAAGAAGAGGTGTTAAAAGACAGTCTCCAAAAGACAAACTTTCTTTTCATGAGGATTACTTTTTTTTTTAAAAGATTTTATTTATTTATTTGAGAGAGAAAGAAAGAGAGAGAGAAAGAGCATGAGCTGGGGAGGGAGTCAGGTAGAAGCAGACTCCCCGCTGAGCAGGGAGCCTGATGCGGGGCTTGATCCCAGGACTCCGGGATCATGAGCTGAGCCAAAGGAGGATGCTTAACAAACTGAGCCACCCAGGCACCCCTCTTTACATGAGGATTACTTTTAATGAGAAAATACAACTCCTCAGAACTGTACATTTTGACTTTGAGTCTCCAAAGCTGAGTTAAAATGTCTAATCTTTACATATTTTTCATAAATACGAATGAGATATTAATTCAAATTCCAAGCAGTTTTATGGTTGATTGTGTTTAGTATTATTATTAAAGGAGCAGTCTGATAGAGATCAAAGTTTGGGACAATACTAATAACATGAAGATATGTTTAATGTCACAGTTAATATTTCCTTATTTGTGTAAATGATATTTTTAATGTGCAAAGTCCCACTTAATTATATTTCTTTTATTTTTTTATTTTATTTTATTATGTTATGTTAGTCACCATACAATACATCATTAGTTTTTGATGTAGTGATCCACGATTCAATATAGTGTACATAAATTATATTTTTTCAGGGTGCCTAGGTGGCTCAGTCAGTTAAACGTATGCCTTCAGCTCAGGTCATGATCCCTGAGATCCTGGGATCGAGTCCCCCGTTGGGCTCCCTGCTCAGCAGGGTGTTTGCTTCTCCCTTTCCCTTTGCCCCTCCTCTCACTTGTGCTCTCTCTCTCTCACACACTCTCTCTCAAATGAATAAATAAAATCTTTTAAAAAATTATATTTTTCATTGTAACTCACAATAATCACTTTTCTGAATTCCTGAAGCCTATGCTTATTTTAACTACCTAGTTAAAATATCCTATAGTACACACTTATTACATTTA